CACGTCGGCGTAGCTACCAGTTGCAAATACGAGCAACCAACCCCGCCTTCGCGTTCGAGTCATCGTGCCCGTGTCCGGGTCCGGGATTCTGCTAGCCTCTGAAAGCTCCGATACGCATTGTACCATTTTCCCCTTTGTTATTTCCTTCTGTCGCGAGTTTACGCGGCACGCCGACCGAGCTCGTTGCTTTCGTCCTCGACAATGCATCGCGTCTCTCCACGCCGCGCCACGCCGCACGGTACCGCACCTTTTCTTTTTTCCGCTTCCCTATCTTCCCCCGCGGCCAAGACGAATTCGTTACGCTCCGAGCCACCGAGACGTTAGTAAGTAGTTACCTTGCCACGATTATTTCTCAGTCTCGAGTCTTTGAGAAAGTTGGCCGAAAAGAACGAGCTCTTACGACCGTGATCATGGCCCTTCGCGACGTTTTCGAAACGGTGTACGCGCGTATTCGTCGTCTCGCCGCTTCTCGAGTCCGAGAATGGGAGAAAGGAAAACGAGCCAAAGTTATAGAAGGAATAGGCGGGACGGTTCGGAGGACCTCTCGATCGCGAGCCCTTTCATCTCGAACATCAAAAGGCAATTCCCGAAATTATGGAGATTTTTCCAAAGAATTTCGCGAAATCGACGGTATTCTCTCGTCTACCTACGACCGCGCCCTCGTATTCTTTGTCGGGATAAACGGGTCCGGGGTTAAAGAAGGGCAGAGGGAACGAAGACGGAGACGGAAACGAGGCCGAGGAAAGAGAAGTCAGTCGGGACCAGACGAGAGAAAAAGAGAGACGGTGATATCGGGTTTGGAACAAATGAGAGGTTATTTCAGGCACCAGACGTATGTATATTTGGTGCTGCCCTCGTCCCACCCTATCGACCCGAGTTTTCGACTTTACATTTTTACCAGGAAACTCGTGGTTTCCTCTTAAACCTCTCTTGCCTCCAGTCGGAAAGCGGTACGCCGCGTCGCGCGCACAAATAAAACGATAAGGATGTATCGTCCTGGAAATAGACCACGGACATTCTAGCAAATTGTACGATCCTCGCGACGCCGGGATACGTTTTTCGTTAACGAGGATTCCAAACAGTCTCCTGCGGATAAAACGCTTTCGACGAATCGCGAGTCGAATCTGCGACAACTTTTCATCGCGACTTCGTCGAACGATTACATCAACGCGACAGTCCGATCACGACCATTTCGTCGTTCATAGTTATCGCCGAGTGGATCGTCGAAACGACTCATCTGCATAATTTTAAGCGACGATCGTAAAATACGTTTCGAGCTTTTACGAGCGGGAGTATCTCGACGCCTTTTCCACGCGCGGAAGCGTTATCGCTTCTAATATTCCGTCGTACAAGGTACCAGTTGATTCGCTTTGTCGCTGCATCGCGAGTAAAGAGCGGACGGAGCAGAATCGGTAACGCGGTCGCGTGGAGAGATAACGTTCGAGTACTTAGCTACTTGCGTGCGAGGATAACGAGACGAATAATCCGATCGCGACGAAACGCGGTCAAAGAAGGAAGGCAGAAGAGACAGAAGCGAGCGAAAACGTTATCGAACGAGAAGACCGTTCGTTAAAGTTCTCTCTGCTCGCCTTCCGTTACAGCGTAGTAGTTGCCGCAACTAGTAGGTCGTTCCTCGCGGAATCGTTCGCACGGAAAGCCGCAAAATTTTCCCAAGAGTCGGAACGAATTTCGATTCTGCCACGAATCGCGAGACGCTGCTCCTCGGGGAGAGATCCGCGATTAACGGAGACGTCGAATTGATTTCGCCGTAACGAGGAGAGAATTCTCGGTTCGGGGATGGCATCCTCGTTTCGATTCGTGGCTCGCGATTTGAATAATCGCGATGGCTCTTGAATCGGAAAAAAGTGTCAATCTGCGCGCTCGATACACGCTCGTTTCGCGAACGAGCGCGCGATCGCGGTAAGTCGGTGTAAACACGAGGCGAGAAAGACCGGGTCACCGTTAACGACTACACCGTGCCGTCGCGACGAACGGAAGAACGAGGATCGGGCGGCAGCTGCCCAATTAGCGTTAATCCTTGTTAATCCGAGTCTCTCCAATCTGCATTCCTTTGTTCTTCGTACGGGCCGCATGGCGGACTGACTACCGCCACAGCGGTTTACGACGTCGTGTCGAGAGAATATTTCGACGAAAGAGAGGACGAAAGGGAGTGCGAAAACAGCTCGAGAAACTCGAAACGGAACGAGGGGAAAAACGACTCCGCAACGAGTCGACAATTTCGTTCGCGATCGTCTACTCGGGCGAGGCGTCGGTGGAACCGGAGAAAATATCGGCTGGTAACGAGAGGATGATTCGAAACGAAGCACCGTTAGGGATGCGACGCAACCACGCAACGCCATTGTCGAAATCGAAGGAAAAAACGACGACGCGTACCGTGAAAATAATGATAAACTCGAGGAACGACCGTGATCCTCGTTGAAGAGTCAGGAAAATCTCGACGTCGATTCGAGAACGCGCGAAACGAAAAGTTCGAACGACGCNCGGTACGAGCCGCCGCGAGATTCGAGAAATCGGATCGTTGGAATCGGCGCCAACCGATACAACGACAAATACGAGACAAAGAGAAGCACGGAGCGCTTAGAAATGTTTGTCTCTTCGAAGCGGCAAACCCATTGTTCTCTCGTCGATGGATTCCGTCTATACGGACTACAGCCGAACGATGAGACAAAACTCTGGATGTGGCCGAAAAATCGAAAGTACGATGGATGGTTGGCGAATAGTCGTATAGTCGGCTGGTCGGGTATGGAGAGATACACGAGCAGACAAAGAGAGCCGGGGAACGAGAGGGAGATCGATGAAAGATGACTGACGAAAAAGGGGAACATTTTCGAACGACGCGTCGCGTCGCGACGTCGAGCCGGGGCGAGGAGAAGAGAAACGCGAGAACCGGCGTCATTGGTCGGTCCGACTCACATTGTTACCATAATCGGCCGTGGTTGGGCCCATTGTTTGTCATTCAATTTTCCCGCTGGATTTCCACCGCGGACAATGGCAGGAACGCTTTATAAGTCGCGGGAATTACACGAGCGAACAAAGCTCGTAAATATATCTGTTGAATCGTGAAAAACGCCGCGCTACTACACACTCTTGCCACGCGCAGAATGAAACTCTGTTCTGTGTGCGCTCTTGTCCGGCACAAGCTTCGCTTCTCTCGCCGACTCTCTAGCGTCCCGCTCTCTATCGCGTCGTTCTTCGCGTTCTTTTCGTTCTAGGTTGCGCGTAAAATCCAGAGATTGTATCTTCTCGCGCGGACGCGTTTATACCGTCCCCGTGGCGCGGCATGCACCGGAGCCAACGTACCAACCAGCCGACTAACTGGTCAGCGCGGTGGAAACGCAACGGACACCCGAGACCGGGGCGAATCTACGCGCGAACGGACCAGAGCGAACGTCCTCGTAAATCAGTGGAATTCCGGGACCGTTCCGGGACAATTTTATGATTTAATCCGGTGGATGCGCGAAGGCTGTGGTGTCGCGGTAGTTTCGAAAGCCGAGCTCGCGCGATATACCGTCTATACCGGTTGCACTTGCCGAGATGAATTTCGCGCGGCGCCAAATGGTGACCGCGTGTAAAAATGGTTTGCGGCGGCCGACGAACAGCGGGCATCGAATAGCG